GCGACATTCGGCGCGCGCGGAGCTGATTCGAATCTGGCGCTCGCGCCGGAAGCCAGCAGGGGCCCCATTAGGCATGCCGGCGCGACTTTGACATTGTTCTCGATGGGGCGCCGATTCGCTACCGACGCGAACCTCAGGCCAGGCGACTGTGCATTTGCGGGGGAGTTGTGCAAGCTCGTCCACGAGGTCAACAGGTTTCAGACCCTTCGCCCAACAGCGTCCTGGAATTCCTTGGCCTGGAGACCTATCGGGAACATGCTTCAGTGGATTCGCGCGCTGGGTGGTCTATTCGTGGGCCAGGAATTTTCAATGTGAAAGATGGCTCGCCGCGCGTATTTTCTGATGTTTCATATTTCGGTATCCAGAGATTTTATAGCAAGGACCTCGGTAATGAGTTCGCGCCGCAGAGCACGCAGCGCAGGCTTCGCGACTGCGAACATGAACGTATCTGAAATGTTGGGGCGGGCCCGCGGGGCGAGCCCCCTCGGGCCCGCGCTTTGAATTCCGAGAGACCTAAGCTCCAAAACATGCGACGAAACGAGCGCGCACTCGGTCGAGCCGCTCCGCCCCTTTTTGCCGCGGGCGCTCCTGCGACGGCGAGTCTGGGGCGATCGACGGCGCGTGGCACAGGTGCTTCCAGCGCCCAGGGGTCGCCGCGCAGCGAGCCGACCTTCCCCCGGCAGGGCGGGCAGCAGCGGATCTGGCGGCATGCCCTAATGACTTATTATTCGACAGCCCGCGGCCCCTCGCGCCGGGAAATTCACGAAAACGCGCCCGGGAAGGATCTGCGTCGCGCGTGGGCCCAGACGGGCCGATGCCACCGCCCAGGTTCCATTGTGCTGAGTTTCTTCACAGGGCTGGCTCTAGTTTCGGAGGCGGTCTTGAACGCGTGCTCGGAGTTGGCTGAGTCCATTCCCGCGAACGCGTCTGGAGTATTTCAGAGGGTATATGCGGACACGCGCCTAGTTTCCTGCCCCTGAGCGCGTTTTTTTTGTTTACCAGAAGTGCAGGGCGCCCTGCCCGGTCCTCGCCTCGAACCAGATTGGGAAACGGAACGACGCAGAAGGGTCAATGCGTCTTGCCCACATCGATTGCGCGGCCTTTCTTGGTGGATACCGCAATCCTTCGAAGGCTGTCTCAGGCGCCAGCCCGCTATCCGAAGTACGTCGCGCCCTTGACCGCGCTGCTGCCCCCCAGTGGGCGCGGGAAGGATTCGTGGTCCATGGCAGGGGCGAACTCACAGTGGCAGCTCTTCGTCGCCAGAGGGTCAACGACAAGGCCGATGAGCCTGCCCAGCATGGAGCCACACGCCATCTCCCTGAGGTCCTCCAGGATATTCACAGTTTCAGGACGCGCGAAGCAGGCTGGCAGGAGGTAGCTGCAGGCATGAGTAATGTTTTCGCGGTGCTCCCGAAGGCGATACAACTGTTTTGATACCTGGCCCGCAATCCATCCATCGCTGCCCGTGGCCTTGTCCCCACAGAGCTCCATGGACTGGCTCGCCCTGGAGATGCGTCGAGCGCGCTCGCTTTTTTCCGCTGCCAGAAAGCCAAAGGGGCGCGCGCAGCCTTGACCCGCCGCCCCAGGCAGGTGGTGGAATTCCAAGACTCTCCCAAACGCACGCTTTTTGTTGGCAGAGCTTTGGAGGCTACTCGTCGGTTTGTGCTTTGTTTGCGTTGCGGGGCCTGCACGTCGGGCCAACTCGAAGAATCGATCGGCCTTGTGCTGATCTATATGTGCGTATATAGACATGCAGCAGTGGGGCCACATTCTCAGTGGCAGCTGCCCGTGGCCTATGGACCTGCAGCTGTCAAAACCTTGGCCCCTGGCCCGCCCAGATGAGGATCTAGGCAGCGAGTGGTGGGGCAGGCCTCAGTATTTCTAATTCACGTATTTCAAGTTTGTCCCACAGCCTTATCGATCATGTATCATTGCCACAGCCTCTTGGGGCCCTCGAGGGACGCTCTTGGGGCGCTTTCGGTGCTGTTTTGGGACCCTTTGGGGGGCCCTCTTGGGGCCCTTTGCCCGTGCTCTCTTGGGCCATAGTGGGGCAATCTTGAGGCCCCCGAGCGCATCGAATGCGAACCTGCGAGACGGTCAACTCCATAGATTTTTACTCGGGGATTGAAGGACGTTGGCCTCTTGGGGGGGGTCCAGAGGGCGCTCCGAACGCACTTGGAACCGTCTTGTTGCCTTCGGCTAGCCTTTTGGAAGTATGTCGGAATCTAATGTGAGCCGTCTTCGGCCGTCTTGAGCCGCCGTGGAAGCCATATTGTAGCATCGGAGGCCCTCTCGGAGCCATCTTGGGCGAAAACGGGCCCTCTGACACATTCCTTTCCCCCCCAAACAGAACGTCAAGCAGGGGAGACCCCTCACCGAAGGGGAGACGGTTTTGGAAAGGGGAAGAAATCGTTCGACCCCCGTACGCCCTAAGGTTGGTGGGATTATGGCCAGAGGGGGGGGGGGCCAAACTCGCGCAATTCAGTCAAGTTGGCGAAGGCCCAGCTACGACGACAGTAGCTCCCGCAGCCAGGCGGGGGTAGTGCCGGGATGAGTCGTCAGGGCGGACGGAGCACAGGAGGGAGTGTTTCTCGCGCTCTTTCCCCCCTCTTCCTTTCTCCCTGCTCTTGTCTGCCTCCTCCTCCTCCTCCTCCTCCTCCTCCTCCTCCTCCTCCTCCTCCTCTTTCACGTCATCCTGTTGCGCCTCGGGTTTCAAGATGCTCCCTGTTCGGGTGGCTGGCGGCGGAGAAAGTATAGAGGGTCCAAGGCGTGTGCAGATGCAGCTGCGCGCGACGTGACGGAGCAGTTGTCAAAGACAACGGACGAGTTGCACGAGTTTCCGAAGATTTTGAGGCGTCACGTAGGACCGCTCTTACGCGCCGATATTGCCGATCGTGTTCGCAGGCAGCGAGGTGTTGAGAGGCCCTACTGCCTGGAGGAACGTTGCCTCGCGCAGCTTTCCTGGCCAGCACCGTGGAGCAGGCAAGCCAGGATCGAATCGGATCTGGAGGCACGAGCGCCGTCGGAGGAAACGTACTGTCAGCGGCTTTGCAGTTCTGGTGTTCTATTGCGGGTTTCCTGGTCCGAGCCCGAGGGTGTTGGCGCAGGAACGGCGGGCGTATCCACCCTGAGTCAGTTTGTTGCCGACTGCTACAACGAAGTCTACGGTAGCAACGCATAGGAGTCTTGCATGACTTCGCAGCTCCGTCTTGAAAGCGCATTGCGTGAGCTAGCGTCTGGTAATTGATGAGAAGCGTTGGATTAGGGTCGGTCAGCGTCAATTCGCAAGAGCCAGGAAGATGGCATGGGAGCCTCTCGTGAGTTGCCACAGAAGAGGTGGCTGAGGATGGTGCGGGCGTGATTGCTGGGGCATCTGCGGTCACCCCTACCCCTGGCGGGGTTGGGCTTGTTTCTGTAGCGGACGCCACATGATTAACATCCTTTCGACTACAACGGTGAGGCTGGCTCTGGAATCATTGAGGCGGTGTGAGTGTGTGTTTGTGTGTGTGTGCGTGTGTGTGTGTGTGTGTGTGTGTGTGTTTGCAGCAACCGACGTCTCTGACGGTAGCCTTCGGCGTGGACAGGTGCAAATTGGTCGTGGTGTTGCCTTGCCGCCCAGCCGTCATCTTGCGCGCCCACCGCTCCTCGTTCCCATCCTCCTCCTCATTTCATGCCCCAGCTCCTAACTCTCCGAGTCCAGCTCCCAACTTTCCGACTCCGACGCCCGTCTCTCCGACTCCGGCTCCCAGTTTTCCGATTCCGGCTGCCAATTTTCCGAATCCACTCCAGTCTTCCGACTCCAGCTCCCAAGTTTCTCGGGGGCGGAAAAGAGGGGGGTGATGATTAGGGGGGGGTGGATATCATGGCGGGGGCCATGGTATTTCCCAAGATTTCATGCCGCCTCTTCTTATTTCTTTACGTCCCTGGCCCCCCCGCTGGGCCGCGCACATGCCGCCGGTCATGATTTGCACCCCCCCCTCTTGGACACCCCCCTCCTGGCCGCTCCCGAGTTTCCAAGTTCCGAGTTCAGAACTGAGGCGCCCCGGCGTACCCGCTGTTGCCTACAAGGGACGCCCTCTGGGCGACACCGGCGCCGCTCCGCTCCCCTCTAACAACACACTGGAATGCTCTTCGTTGCGCTCGTTTGCAGGGGCGCCCCCGCTCGATCGCGGGGCGCCCCCTCGAGAAGCCTCCTCCTTGACCCCGCGCCCACTTCGGACCAGGTAGGTGAAAAAACTGAACGGCGGAGGAGAGGCTCGGGAGGAGGGAGGAGGAAGAGATCCGATCCGAGGCCCTGGGGCCAGAGGTCCAGAGTGGAGGATCCAGATGGCGAAAGAGATCCGGCATCGAGCCGGAGGGATTCTGGAGAGCCGAGGAGGGAGGTCAGGAGGGAAAACAATCAGACACCAATGATCGTCGATCCCCAAGGAAATATTGGAAAATATGGGAGGTGGGGGGAGACCAATCAAGAGAACATCAGAAAGTACAGGGAATCCTTGGATGTGTGTGTGTGTGTGAGTTCCTGTACTCATTTGCGTTTGTTCCTGGGCCCTTTCAGGAGGGGCAGTTCGGCCTTGGGAAGCCGTCACCGTCCTTCCGTCCTCCCGGGACGGACAGACAGCGCGGTCGGCGTGGGGCGACGCCCTCCCTTCACCTTCGCTCGAGTCCTCCCCTCTCTCCTCCTCCACACGCCGCGCCCGCGTGGCAGGCGAGGCAGTACTCGCATCTGCTTGGCTGCGCCCGTGGGCAGGATGGCTTTGAGGAGGGGACGAGTTCAGACGGCCCCCCCCCACCCAGAGCAAATTTCAGAAGGTCTCATCCTCGGAGATGGCTCGACGGGGCAGCGAGTCCCCCTCTGCCCGCCCTCCCCATCCCTCTCCGCATCCCCCATCCCTCGTGCGCACGCCCCCCCCCCCCCCCCCCCCCCCCCCCTGGGACCCCCCTCATCCCTGGGCTGGCCCTTCAGAGCGCGGCCTGGCTGGCCGCGGCGGCCGCGCGCCATGGCGGGCCACGGCCTTCTGGCGCTGGCGCTGGCGCTGGCGGCGACTGCGGCGTCTCCCGCGGCCGCTGACGAGGAGCGGCACGTCCCTCCCGTGCCCCCCTCCCCCGCTTGCTCCTCCTCGCTCTTCCCTCGCCCCACCCCCGCCTCTCCCTAACCCCCATCGGCGTCACCCCAACGTACATCGAGAAGTCTCATAGTATCCGCTCCGTGGCGGGCGCTTTCTGGCCATACCTCTCGGGAAACGATAGACTCCAAGATTGTGAAACTACATTTTCGGGTCGGACGCGCGCCTCCACTGGTACTAGCATGGCCTTGCGCGTCCCACCCCATGCCGCCCCCTTGCCCTGTTCCCCTCCCCCCCCGCGATGGCTCCCATCCCTTACCATCCTGCCGATTCGGTTCCGGAGCCTGAACGTGGCCCACAGAGGGCCGATCGGCGCATTGGCGCCGACGTCGTGACGCAATCGAGCTCTAGCTGATGGAATTGGCCTCGACCTTTCAAACAGCAACATGGTAAGGGAAGAATCTGCTCACCTCCCCCCCCCTTGGGGGGGAAGAGTCGTGGATCGAGGGGAAGAGTCGCGGATCGAGGGGCCGAGTTCATGTACACAGCTGGGCGCGTACGTCCTTTGTGGGCTCCCCTGACACGTCGATTAGCGAATTGGCCGCTTTCGGTTCGCGAGAGGGCGCCGCGGCCGTCATTTTTGCGGGTCCACGTCCGTCGGCTTCGGCCCTAGGCCGTCTTCACTAAAGGGCGGTTTGCTAAAGGGAGGCTTGTCCACCACCGAAGACTCGATGTACCCCAACACTAGAATTTGTTCGTTTAGTCTCACCCCCGTACGCCCCCGAAGAGGTTGCGGGGGTCGACGGTGGCGATGCACCCACAGCGGGGACAGCCGAGTACAGCAGCAGAGGTTGGCAGTCTGGGGCGGAGCGGAGCGGAGCGGCAGGACGACAGCACCTTCCCGGCGAAGTTGTCCCTCAAGCTGCTGGGTGACCTCGACGGCTGTCTGGAGGACGGGCGGGCGACGTTCTGATCCGATGGCTTGCCGCGTGCGGGGGTCCGGAAGGAGGAGGGGGAGGAGGGAGGGGTCGAGGAAACGGCTGTCTGGAGGACGGGCGGGCGACGTTCTGATCCGATGGCTTGCCGCGTGCGGGGGTCCGGAAGGAGGAGGGGGAGGAGGGAGGGGTCGAGGAGAGGGCGGAGGACGGGTCAGGAGGGTGGGGATGGAGAGAGCTGCGGAGGGGCACTGGGCGCACCGTCGTGGAGGCTGTCCCATAATCTCTCGCGGCCTCGGACACGAGAAGCACGAGGGGCCAACCTTTTCCACGGGAGGTGGGGCAGTCGGCCCCTTCCAGGGGGGGGTGCCCCCGCGCCGACCCGCGCATCGGATCCTCATCTCTCCAAGTCCTCCTTCAATCCGTTTCCGCCGTTCTTGCCCTTTCCCCCGTTCCTTCAATCCGTTTCCCCCGTGCTTTGTATTTTCAATATCGTCTGTATTTGCACATGCATACATATGAATGCTCATGTGCAGATTCGTCTCTCAATGTCGTTATGGCTTTATCAAGTATGTCTCTCTCTCTCTCTCTCGCGTCGTCTGTTTCGTTTCTTTGTCTTTCATATATATATATATATATATATGTGTGTATGTGGTCGTGTGTGTGTGTTTGTGTTGTGTGTGTGTGTGTGGTGAACCTCTCTCTACGTATGTATCTCTATATATATATATATATATACACATGTCCTATATACACATGTATGTATGTGCATCTACAAAAATGTATACATACATATATATATATATATACACATCTCCATCTGCCTGCGGCAAGTCCCGCCACCTTGCCAGCCCAGCATTCTGGGTGACGATTGTTCGAGCGGGTAGGGGAGGCCATCACGTGTGATACCTCGTGTCCCCAGGCGTGGGGGCCGTGATGTTGTTGTCGAAGATGAGCATCATGGTGATGTTGATGGTGATGGTGATGATGCTGATGACGGTGCTGATGCTGATGCTGATGCTGATGGTGATGGTGATGTTGGTGTCGATGATGTTGATGCTGGTGGTGGTGATGGTGATGGTGATGATGGTCGTGGTGATGATGACGATGTTGATGATGCTGATGATGATGGTGACCATGACGATGACACTGATATTGATGACGATGACGATGAAGATGCTGCTGATGATGCCGATGGTGATGATGAGGATTGGGATGATGAGGATGAGGATGAGGATGATAATGAGGATTATGCTGATGGTGATGCTGATGTTGCTGATGATGTTGATGATGATGCTGCTGCTGATGATTTTGAGGATGATAATGAGGAAGAGGAAGAGGAAGAGGAGGACGAAGATGAGGAGGGGGATGAGGATGATGTGAAGGAGGCCGATGAGGAGGAATAGGAGGAGCAGCAGCATGGGGACGAGGAACGACTTCACATGTGACACGTTTCGTCTTCACTAATAGAGGAACTGTCATGGAACTCGTTTGGGCCGTCTTGCGGCTGTCTTAGCCTCCTGTGAGGCGGTCTTAGGGGCCCTTGGAAGCCCTCTTGGGCCGTTTTGGGGCCCGCTGAGGCCGTCTTGGGGTTCTTTTGTGTTGTCTTGGGAACCTCTTGACCGTATGGTGGTTGCCTGGGGGCCGTCGTGATGCCATTTTGGGCAGTCGAATGACCTTGGGACGTCTTGAGGTCAAGGTGGGCCGTCTTGCAGACATCTTGTGCCATCTTAGAGGCATCTTGGCCTCGGGAGCGCGCATCAGTCGTATTGTTCGAACGGTTTTGGCCTCAGGAGTGCGAACTCATCATGTTATACGAAAGGTTGTGGCCTCAGGAGCAGGACCAGTGCACGCGGCCGAGTGCTACTAGAAGGGGGAAGCCCTTAAGAAGACAACAAAACCCTACCAGGCAGCACTTTGCATTCTAGCACCTCCCGACCTGCCATCGGGGCACGGTGGCGTACATACAATCAACCCGCGTAGTAAGGATGAGCAGCTTTCCAAGGCTTCCATCCTTACCGTGCGCCTGTACTGTGCGGGCTGACTGTGCACTGGCAACCGGGCCCCAGGTGCCAAGGGCCCGTGAAGGGACACCCTCCCGGATTTCCCCCCCTGTAAAGGGCGCCTCGTCATGGTAACCCGCCCTGGGGGCCTGGGGAACCTGTTGGGCTTGAATTCCAGGACACCGCGCCCTGGCGATTTCGTGGGGCCATCATGTCAGCCTTGTGGCCCCGCGACGTGTCCGCTGGCAGGCTTCCTCCTGCTCTTCCCCATTGTCCTCCTAGACTTCCTCTGGCCCTCCTTTCGAGGAGGAGGAGGAGGAGGAGGGGGAGGAGGAGGAGGAGGAGGAGGAGGAGGGGGAGGAAGATGGAGATGAGGAGGAGGAGGCGGAGGAGGGAGAGGGAGAGGAGGAGGAGGGAGAGGAGACGAGGAGGAGGAGGAGGAGGAGGAGGAGGAGGAGGAGGAGGGGGGAGTGGGGGAGGGAAAGGAGGAGGAGGAGGAGGAAAAGGAGGCACCACAAGTATGGACGCTCTCCGGGGCCTTTCCTCGCAGGCGACTTCTCGCCCCCTGCTCTCGACGCTTCGACGAAATTCAAAGCCGCTCAGAAAATGATGGAAACCCGGGGATGCACCCCCAGGGGGCTGTTCGGACGCAAGCCTATCGAGGATGGACGCCACTCCATCGTACATCCAAGGGTTGGGCCCCAAATTGTTGGTCCATTCGAGAACCCCACGAAGCATTGAATAAAGATCGACAGATCCCCTGTCATCCCTCGCTCCCCCCTCCAGGCGGCTTAAAACTAGCTCGGTGTGTGTGTGTGTGCAGATCAGCGTCCAAAGCGGCCCAACAGGACCGAAGGACAGCTCGAGCACTTTGAACACAGCTCCAGACAGCCGAAGCAGCTCCCGTGACGGGATTGAGTTGCCATTGGTTTTTGATGATTTCCGCATATTCGTTTTCCGCTCCTCTGGGCGCCCACGACGGGAAAGGAGGCCCCCAAGCTTGCCTCTGGACAGCCCAAAAGGGCCCCAGGAAGGGCCCAGGAAGGGCTCAAGACAACTTGAGAGGGCCCAAGGCGGGCCAAGAGGGCCCCCGGTGGGGCGCAAGACGGCCCAAGAGATCGAAGAGAGACGCAAGACGGCCCAAGATGGGCCCAACAAGCCCCAAGAGGCCGCTAAGAGGGTCCCAAGACAGCCAAAGAGGCCCCCAAACCAAGCCCAAAGACACTTCCAGGATCCCACTAGAACTCTTGAGTACTGATCTAAAGTAGCTTCAAAAGACGCCAAATACCGCATCGCCAGCATGCGTCCAAGAGGCTCTAAGGCGGCTGGATGTGGCCCGGAAGCTCTGCGATAATGCCCCCTTGGAAAGCCAAAGCCATCGAAATTGAGGCATTCTTGCGATGCGAGTTTCTCGGGCGTAGCTAAAACCTGAGCGCGCGCGAAGCGTGTGGTTCGAGCGTGTACAGGGGTGCACATGAATGTTTCCCTCTTTCCCTCTGGAGTCCTCCCTCTCCCTTTCGGCGGCGAGCGAGGGGGCGACGTGAGAAAAAATAAATCGGCCTTCTCAGAAGGCGGCGGGGCTTCTCGGAAGCCTCCCCCCGCATTCCGAAAGGTTTTCCGCGCCGTCGGGGGAGGCCCAGAACATTTCTCCGAAGGCCGGGGGCACTTCCGAGCCTTCTGAGAAGGCCCGCCCCCGAGCGCCCCGTCGCGCGGAGCGCTGGGGGCTGCCCTGGGCCCCGTAGTGTGCGGCCGCGGCCCGGGCCTCCGCCCTCGCAGGCCCAGCTCCTGCGGAGGGGCCTCCTCCTCCTCCTCCTCCCTCCTCCTCCTCCTCCCCCTCCCCTCCTCCCCTCCCCCTCCTCCTCCTCCTCCTCCTCCTCCTCCTCCTCCTCCTCCTCCTCCTCCTCCTCCTCCTCCTCCTCCTCCTCCTCCTCCCCCTCCTCCTCCTCCCCCCCGGGGCTGGCCGCCGACAGCGGGCAGTGCGCTGGGCGCGGCCTCCCGTGTCGCGTGGGTCCTTGCCTCCCCGCCCTCCCGGGGCGCCGTCGCGCCCAGGACTTCGCAGAGTCCGTGGCGGACGAGCTGGAGCTGCAGGGGAGCGGCTGGTCACGGCTCGAGGCCCAGGGGTCAGGGGCAACGATAGGGGGGGATAGGCATGGGGGGGGGATGCATCGGTCCCCAGGTCGCCCATCGATCGCAGATGGGAGCCCGATGACCCCAACCCGCCCAGGAAGGTGCGGCCTCGCTATCAGAGGCCTATCGCCGATCTGTCGGCGATGTATCGCCGATTCCAGGTCGATGCATCCCCCCCTATGCCAGTCCCCCCCTATGCCAGTCCTCCTCCTGCTCCATCCCTCCTCCTCCTCCTCCTCCTCCTCCTTCTCCTCCTCCTTCTCCTCCTCCTCCTAGGGGGCCGCGCGACCCCCCGTTGGGGCGTACAGGTTTGGCCCGCCAGGGAGGCACCCTCCTGCAAAAGCACGCCGATGCTGCACCACTTTACTGCAGTTGCATCGCTGGAGAAACTCTCAGCCTGCCATCGGGTGCCCCGCACAGGTTCCTTCTTCCCCGGTGGGCCCAGAGAGCTACTGAAGTGCTGGACCTTCTGCGAAGCCCAAGACCAACGAAGAGCTTGCCCCAAGAATTCGAGCAGAACAACATCGTATCGAAAATAATGTGAATCGTTTGCGCTCGACGGGCCAAATTCGTTATTGAGGCTTGGCGGTTGTATCCCCCGCCAGCCCATCTCAAACGATTAGGAACCGAGTTGTCGTGATAAGAATGAAGTGAGGGAATTGCGTGAAACAGAAACGGAGACCCCGAACCACTCTCGACTATGGTCAACGTGGGGCCCTCTCGGAGCCTTCTCTCGGGACATTTCGGGGCGCATTCTGGGTCCTTTCGGGACAATATGCCAAACCAGGGTATATCACACAGTGAGTATGTGAGCTGGCGGGTCGTAACTCATTGATGCGTTTATGCTTCACATGCATAACATTGTATGTATGTTTGTTCGTACACTGCTGTTTTTCTCTGTCCGTCCTCTGCGTCTGCGTGTGAGTGTGTGTGTGTCTCTCTCTCTCTCTTTTTTCTCTCCCTCTACGTTTCTTGTCTAGTTCGCTTGTGTTTTGTCCCACCGCCATTCATTGTCACTAACAGTGGCGCCCCGGCGCCCACCTGCTGTGCCCCCACGGCACCTCGACTGCAGGCCGATGTCCTGATGTCCGATGTCCAATTCTGGGCCCTTTTGGAGCTATCTTTGGGTGTCTTTGCGGTGCTTCGGGAATCTTCGAGGGGGCAGGCGATGAAGTAAATTGCGCCCAACGCGTAGAAACCTCTAAAGCAAAACTTCAAACGCTCGGGACAATACCCGCCACTTGTTCCGTTTGGGCCAGCGTGCGAAGCTACATCTATTCCGGCAGTATGTGTGCCAAGGCCGCACGCATGAGTGCACACGCGTGCCAGGTTCACCGAAAGGAACGGGGAGAGGGAGCGGACAAGCTAGGTGCACTCGCGCCATATATCTGGCATCCTACACTTGCCACCCATCCGTTCCCATTGCGCTGGTATCTTCTCTATATCCACGGACGCGTTTCACAGCAGAGTAGGTGTTAAAACAAAGGGCTCCCTCATGTTATGCGCAATTGAAAACGGGAGTTGCGTACATCGGAAGAGGAGGTGGCGGATGAGCAGCAGGATGAACAGAAGGAAACGGAGGACGATGAGGAAGGAGAAGGACGAGGACGAACAGTAGCAGCAGGAGTTGAAGAGGGAGTGGGAGGAGCAGGAGGACCAGGGGAAGGCGAAGGACGGGAAAATCGGGGGCGACAGCGATGAGGAAAGATCCGGATACAGACGATACTGGCCCGCGATGGGGCGAGAGCGCCATTCTGAACGACGCGAGCAGATCGCCGATCTTAAAATGAGGCCAACGCAGCAGCGGCAGCACCATCTTGCCGTTCTGAGACATCGAAAGCGTGCCGATCGAAAGAAACAACGGGAATACCGTACCCATGTTTGACATCTTCTGCGTAGAAGCATTACGCGGGGGGGGGGCGAGGAGGAGGTGAGAGGCTAGAGAGGTGAGAGGAGAGAGAGGTGATAGCAGGGATGATGTCAACGAGGAGGAGTAGAGAGGAAACGAGGGAGGAGGAGGAAAAGTGAGGGGAGAGGAGAAAGGAGGTCTACCCTTTTTCCCGTCCACCTGAGCTGGCGAGGCCGACCTGGACGGCGTGCTGGCCCAGCTGGAGGCAGGGCTCACGGCGGAGCGCCCAGAGGCGCCGCTCAGAGACGCAGCGAGCGAGGAGACGCCCCCCCCTCCCCAGGAAGAGGAGGAGGAGGAGAAGAACGACAAGGAGGAGGCGGGAGGGAGGAGGAGGAGGAAGAGGCAGGTGGGGGATGAGAAGGAGAAGGTGGAAGAGGGCGGGGGAGGAGGAAGGGGCGGGGGGAGAGGGAAGAGACGGGAGGGAAAGGAGGAGGCGGGAAGAGGGACAAGAAGGAAAGGTAGGTGAAGGATGCGAAGGAGCAAGTGGAACCGATTGTGTCGAATGACGAGCTTGATGGGAAATGACAAGGCGAGTACCAACCGGAGAGATACGACTAACGTGTCCGCCGCTGTCTGTGAAGACAAATACTCGACTAAAGTTGCGGTGGTGCCTTTCTGGGACTGGGTGACCCATCACCGGACAACGGAATACAGCCGCGCACCACGACATCAGGTGGTGTTGGCAATTCATTCAAAACGCATACGCATGTGATATTGTTGCCGAGATGTTGTTTGAGAATGGCGACGCGAGATTAGGCGCCTTGGGTTCTCTACTCAACTACACTTGGAGCCGTCTGGGGGTCTGAGGTGGCCCAGCATTGGTTCCTGCCAGCAGGAAAGGCGGGCAGGTTCGAGGTGTTGGGTTCGAGACGGTGTTTTGCTTTTTCTGGCTTTGGGGGCTGTTTTCGGGCCCGGACCGTCAGAAATTGATCCTGGACGACATTGCACTATAGAGGGACTCCAGGAGGGGTTTGCGTCCGGAGACCGACCTTGGGCGGATTCGGCCTCACCCCCCCGTCCCAACCAGCTCAGACACCCCAGCCGCCTCCAAAACTACACTTTCCGGGGCACGCTGATCCCGTCAGGGTCGTGGACGCAATATAGTAAGCGCACAACTGGATCACCCTGTAATTGAAAAGGGGGGGGGGTGCTCGCAGAACCCCCCCCCGCCCTCCCCCCCTTCAAAGGGGGGGGTGAGATTTTCGCCCCCCCCCTCCCCCCATTAAGAGAGATGGGGGTCCGAACCCCCCCCCTCCCCCCCTCTTGAAGGGGGGGGTGGGGTTCTGGACCCCCCCCCACTCCCCCGTTGGCGCTGGATGAGGGGGGGGTCGAACTCCCTTCCCTCCCCTCTTCTGCGCCGAACAGGGGGCCGGGGAGGGGTCTCTGACGCAAGGGGGGGTCTGGCCTCGGGATAGTGAGTAGCGAGTTGAGAGTAGTGAGTAGTGAGTAGTGAGTTGGGAATAGTGAGTAGTGGGTAGTGAGTGGTAAGTAGTGAGTACTGAATAGTGCGCCGTGGGGAGTGGGTAGTGAGTAGTGGATAGCGCGTAGGGACATGCGAGTAGTGAAAAGTGAGTAGCGAGCAGGGCAGTGCGAGAAGTGAGTAGTGAGGAGGGAGTAGTCACTAGTGAGTATTGAGTAGGGAGTAGTGAGTAGCGAGTAGGGAATAGCGAGTAGTGAGTAGTGAGAAGTGAGAAGTGGGACAAGGGTAGTGAGTATTGGGTAGTCCGTCGGGAGTAGCGAATAGAGACTAGTGGGTAGTGAGTCGTGAGTAGTTCCCCAATCAGAGCTTGCTTCTGTAGGGGTCCTAGCGGATATAAAGCTGAGGTGAGGTGAGCGGCCGATTTCGGTGGCCGGGGCCGGGTGCCCGGGTGCCCGGGGGTGCCCGGGTGGCCGATTTCGGTGGCCGGGCCAAGGTGCCCGGGTGCCCAGGGGTGCCCGGGTGACCCAGGTGCCCGGGGGTGCCCAATAACCCAGTAGCCCTATAGCCCTATAGCCGTGTAGCCCTGTAGCCCTATAGCTTTATGTCCTTATAGCCTTAATAGCCTTGTATCCCTATAGCCCCATAGCCCATATAGCTCTATAGCCCCATAGCCCTATAGCCCTATGGCCCTATTGGTCACAATCCTATAGCCCGATAGCCCTACAGCCCGATAGCTGTATAGCCCTATAGCCCTATAGCCCGATAGCCCTAATACAAATCTGATGGGGTTTTTTTGCCGGTATCATGAGTAGTGAGTAGTGATTTGTGACTCGTGACTATCGAGTGGGGAGGGAGTAGTGAGTAGAAAGTAGTGCGTAGTGGGTAGTGAATATCGCGTATCGTGTAGCGAATAGGGGGTAGCGAGTAGTGAGAAGTGAGCAGTCAGCAGTGAATAGTATGTAAGGAGTAGCGAGCAGCGGGTAGTGAGTAGTGAGTTGTGGGCAGTGAGTAGTGAGTAATACAGTGTGAGTACTCAGTAGTGGATAGTGGGTAGTGGATAGTGAGTAGTGATGAGTGAGTAGTGAGTAGTGGGTATTGAGTAGTGTTTAGTGAGAAGTGAATATTGAGTAGTGGGTCGTGAATAGTGAGCAGTGAGTAGTGAGTAGTGAGTAGTGGGTAGTGTGCAGTGAGTATTGTGTAGTGAGTAGTGGGTACTGAGTAGTGAGAGTGGTGAGTAGTGAGCAGTGAGTAGTGAGAAGGGAGTAGTGAGTAGCTAGTTGTGAGTTGTGTTTAGTGAGTAGTGAGTCTTGAGTAGTGGGTATTGAACAGTGAGTAGTGAGTCGTGGTTAGTAATTCGTTGCTATTGAGTCGTGAGTAGTAGTGAGCAGTGAGTAGTGAGAAGTGAGTAGTGAGTAGCGAGTAGTCAATAGTGGGTAATGAGCTGTGAATAATGAGTACTGAGTGCTGTTAGAGTTTTGGTTTAGGTTTAGGGTTACGGGTGGTCGGGGTGGTCGTGTTAGGGATGGCAGGGGTCGGGTTCCGGAGCCAGGGGGCGCCGTGGCGAAAGGGGGGGAGGGGTGGGGGGGGGTTCGAATTTGGCGGCCAAAGGGGGGGAGAGTGGGGGAGATGGGGGGGTCCCCGACGACGGACCGGGAGAGGGGGGAGGGGGGGGGCTCCCCGACGACGGACCGGGAAAGGGGGGGAGGGGGGGGGGTCCCCCGACGACGGATCGGGGAAAGGGGATGGGGGAGGGGGTCCCCCCCCCATTTGGGGGAGATCAAGCGGCGCGCCCTCCGCAATATATCATCAACTTATTGATCAAATCTGCCCACGAAAAATGGCCCAATAATTAACGCTCAAGTGCTGCCACTCCAATCCCTATTATTATGTACGTTGTCCTCCCGGCTGTTATACAATCTCGCCCGTCAGTGGTTTCGGAATCGAAACATCGCAGTGACCAAACATGTTTTAGCACAGGCGCGTCTACAGAACATTATTTGTTCCCGATGGTCATGCTCCAGGGGAAAACAAACGATCACACAGTACCTCATTGCCACGCCGGGCTGCAGTTGTAGAAAACGTTCGACTCCGTAGAGCATAGCGGGCTGTGGAACGCATTCTACAAGCATGGGGGTCCTGAGGGCCACAAGTATTATGTTGCAGTGTTTGTTGGGCGAAGCGCGGACGTTCGTAGTCGTTGGTCGTTGGTTTGATATTTCATGGGGGCACAGCAAGGATACCAACTGAGCTTTTGCTTGTTACGTTTGGATGCTTTGCTGGAGCGCACCATGAGAAACGTTCAGCTGGGTTGAGAAACGTCGGTTTGGTGGACCAAGCGATACGGCATGCAACGTGAACGCACACCAGGTTGACGCATGAACATTTTAATACAGTTCATAGGTGATGCCCCCCTGGCTAATAATACATGGCACGCTGCCGACATACATGTGTAAATCAACGCGGGGGGGTCCCAGCTTCGTCTGGACAAAACGGTGTGTTCCACGAACATTACGAAGAGGACAGCGAGGGGGAAGAAAACATGTGTTGAGATTGGCGACGTGCGAATCGAGATTTTGGGTTCTGCTGGTGCAGTAAGATATGTGTGGGGGTCATTGGGAGGTGAAGATTAAGCGGAGGACGGAGTTGAACAACGAAGCCATCTCTCCGTCCTAGAGAGCATCAATGGCACGATGGTTTGACGTCATATGCAAACGGTACAAGTTGGCAAGTCGCTTTCGCCTTTTTCGAGAGTGTCGTGACCCCCGCGGTGATGCACGGTGTATGCAGTTGGACAGTGATGCGGAGTTTCGGCGCAATTTGCAGACGAACCAGCGCAGGATACCATACATGATTCTGAGGTCTGGCAGCCAATGGGTTGAAACGAGCGTTGATTTCGCAGCGGTCAATGCATCGGCAACGAACCTTTGCACTGAAGAATCCAATGAGCAGTTCCAAGTTGACAGTTGTGTTGAAATGGTCATGCGGAATGAAGCAAATGTTGATGTCAATAACGTGCAGGATGGGTGTGTAGTAAGGCGACGCTGAGCGTGGATATTTTTTCGCAGGGTTTTGGCCTACTCGTCTGGACTATGCCCGTATCGATGTTCAACGTGGGACGACGACCAGGACAAAAGGGCACAAAGCAGATGCCCAATTGTCCAGGAAAAAACGTTGGAAGCGACATCTGTGGCTACCTGCACAAGAGGATATACAACAAACGACAGAGTGTAGATTTCCATCTTCTGACGCAGGGTGGTCGGATCTCCAGCAAAGATCCAGGTACCCAATTGAGCTCTTCTGCATTCCCCACCGTTTTGGCCTCCTCGCGTCCATTGCCCCCCCCCCTTTCCCTCTGTTCTTTTCGGTTTCTTAATAAGCGTGGGGGGGTACCCCCCTGAAGGGGGTCAACCTCGCCTCGTCGTCGCGCCGCGACGGGGGTCGGAGCGCTTTCGGCGCGCGGTGGCTGCCCGCGACGGGGGTCGATGTGGGGCTGTCGGCGGGGGTGACGCCCCCCCGACGCTTATTGAGAAACTCGGAGTACCCTTCCCACCTCTCCATCATCCCCCGTCTACCCCATCTCTTACCCTGCGTCACCCGCTGGTTGTGCCCATGTGTCTATCTGCCAGTTCGACGCCTGTTCTTGTCGAAGCTCGGCGGACGAGGTCCGATGATCGGACGGCGTCATGAGTGTCGCCCCGGCGAGAAGGGCAGCCTCTGAATCTTCTGGGCTTCGCGGGTGGCCCGGCCGTTCTTAAGGGTTTGACTGTGGCCTTCTGGTCATTTGCTTGTCACGGTCTTCGCGGAGGTCACGGCTGCAGGGCCGGTTCCCGCTTGCAGCACGTCGCGTTTTGTTCGGTCTTGTGATTATTGCAGCTTTTGTTGCAAATGTTGTTGTTGCTGTTGTTGCTGTTGTTGTGGTTGTGGTTGTAGTTGTTGCTGCTGCTGCTGTCGTGTTTGTTGTTGCTGCTGCTGTTTGTTGTTGTCGTTGGTGGTGTTGGTGTTGTTTGTCGTTGGAAAAAATGTACACGTTAATCGTCCGTTTGCGGTGTGCTGTTTTCTTCGGCGCTCGCTTGGAGGGTGGTGAGTGATTTGGTCGCGGCGATGTGGGTGACAGCGCACGGTGGCCTGAGATCAAAAGAAACGATCGGTTTCCCCGATGCCCCTTTGGTTTGCCGATTGCGAGGAGGAGGGGGATTCGGAACGGGGGGGAGAAGGCGAGGGCATTTGGTATGAATGCTGTTTTGCTCTCTTTCTTGTTTCTCGAAAGCGCCTTTGGAGCATCCCGCCCTCTGCCGCCTTTTTTTGCACCAGATTTCAAAAGCTGGGGTTTTCATTGTTTTGTTTGCAATCGGATCGCATTCGGTGTTTCAAAATGGTGTTCCCGCTGCAGCGTGGGCCTTATCTTCGGATCGGCGCTGCACTTCCGTCGTTGAGAACAGCGTTTTCGCTCCAGCAAGGGCCGTTTTTTCTGGATTCGAGTATATATTTGTTTCATCATTGTCGCCCCCCTTTTTTCCCATGTTTGCCTTCCCCTGGTCCTTTCGTTGTTTCCACTCCTTCCGCTCCAGTTCCTGCTGCTGCTGCTGCTGTTCGTCTTCGTTCTCCTCTCTCCTGATCCTCCCCCCGCTTACTCTGTCGCGGCCCCAGTGGTCCCGAGTCCAAGGGGACCCCTGGGGGAAGCGGTCGGCGCCCGCGCGCGCCGGTCCGCACATCCACCTCGTGCTCGCCTCGCCGCGGCGGCCGCGCCGCCTTCTCCTCTTCCTCCTCCTCCTTCTCCTCCTCCTCGTTCTCCTCTCCCATCTTCCACGAGGGGCTCATGGAACCCTCCTTTTTGTGCGCGCCCGCTCGCACGCGCCATTGGCAACGCAGTGCCAGCGGTGCCGCACCTCTTGGTTTCATAGGAGAGCTACTTGCTGGCAAGACAGGTCTGCGTGCGAACGGGCCGTACGTACGCCTGTGGTGGAGGAGGGGGTGAGGGGAGGGCTTGCGGTGAGGAGGGCAGCGTGAACGCCTTTGCGCAGGCCTTGGCAGTTCCCTCGGTAAGGTGTCTAAGGGCTGTCGAGTCTTTGCTGCGTAACACTTACGCAGCGTAATTACGCAGACGCTCTGCACTGCACCTTCGCGGGCACATTGACGTTGCCCCTCGTTGCGGATGTCTGTCCTGTCCTGTCCTCCCTCTTCCTCCTCCTCTTCCTTTTCTTCGTTCTCCTCCCCCTACTCCTCCTCCTGTTCCTCCTGCTCGTCTTCCTGCTCACCCGCCACTCCCGGCTCCCCCTTTACCACGGTTGTTGTTGTTTGGGTTCAAGGTCGGCCATCACGCGCGCCCGTGGAAAGAGAAGCAACCAACGCAAACGGAAGGGATGGGAGGGAGGGGTGGAACGTCAGAAATGGCGCGAGCGCGCCTAGCTTGTCCCCACCTCCTGCTCCTCCCCTTTCCGCCCCCCACGTGGCCTGAGTAGGGTAGCTTTGTGGCGGAATCCGCGGAAGCTGATGAAGCGACGTAGCTTTGCTTCGAGCGGCCTGCATGGCGCGAGAGATGTTTCACTCGGGGCAGGCGGTCGCGGCACGAGTGGCGGGCAATCCCGCTTCGACTACACGTGTGAGCTGTGATCGCAGATCGCCGAGCCGATGGCCAAGGTGCCATCGGGTGCCGGGGGGTCCCATCGCATGTCGTTATCATGTTGTTCGGAGGCGTCAGTGTCAGGGGCAGCGCGGCGGCGAGCCTGGTATTTGGGATTGTTGGGTTTCCGAGGGCCCCCGGAGACATACGCAGAAGGTTCGCAAACCGTGGCGACTCACGAGGCTGCGGCACTCGCGCTTCGAGTGTGAGGCATGGATTCAGAGGTGCGCCGTGAAGCTGGCGGTTGCGCGTGCACTTTCGGCCCACCCCGTGGAGAAACGATTGGGGGTCCTCCAGAAGTGAATGGAGAGCTTGGGCGGCGGTTCCAGAGCTTGTGGGTTCCCGGGTCGGCCGGCTGTTATCCCCCACGTGCGCGCGATTTTTTTTTTCGGGGTGAGGTTCATTTCGCCCGCCCCTCATTGTGTTGTCTTGAGCGTAAGGCTTCAGAGCAGCGGAGTATCGGATTGTAGCCGTTCAAACGCATCTGCCCGCACGCCGAGCACCGCAGGGAAATTATTGAATCGCTTCGCTCATTCCGCCGGCCCATAGTGTAGCGTCGCTGGCACTTGCTTGCGTGCTCGGGGGGGCATTTGGGTGGCCTCCTGGGGCCGCTTGGGGGCCTCTTGGGGGCCTCCTGAGGGCCTGTTGGGGGCTTCTTGGGGCCTCTTAGGGGCCTCTTGGGGCCTCCTGGGGACTTCTGAGGGCCGAGGGCTCGAAATATTGTTTCGTGTTCCCCCCCTGGGGTCCCTCTTGGGGCGTTCTTGGGGCCCTCTTGGGCCGTCTTGGAGGCCTCTTGGGCCGTCTTGGAGCCCTCTTGGGCCGTCTTGGGGCCCTCTTGGGGGCCTCTTGGGCCCTCTTGGGGCGGTCTTGGGGGCCTCTTGGGCCGTCTTGGGGTGTCGTGAAGCCGAAAAGGTGGAAACGCCAAAATCTCTCCAAAACCTAAGGAAAAACAGTGAATTTTGCCTCTTGGGGCCCTCTCGGGAGTGCTCTTGGAGGCCTCTTGGGGCGTCTGGGGGCCATCGTGGGCGTCTTGGAGCGATCTTGTGGCATCTCGGACCCCTCATGTAGCATCTTGGGGGCCTCTTGGAAGCCTCTTGGCCCTTCTTGGGGCTCTCGGGGACGTCTCGGAGCCGCGTTGGTGCGCTGCTGGAGCGCCCTGGTGACTCCTCCCGGGACTCTCTCGGGACCTTGCCGGGGTACTTTCCGCCCGGGGGCCCCCAGGGGCCGCCCCGCGCGCGCGAAGTAGAAAGATTGTAAAGCAGTCACCGGAGATCTTAGCACGCCTCTGGCCCGTTGGGCCGGCGAATTCACGCTGCGCGTGCCCCACCAGTCCATTCAGAAACGTTGCCCGTGCAAGTTGACGCGAAACGGGAGAATGGGACAAACCAATTCGGGCAACCAAAATTGAGGATGTGGAGGAGGAGGATGGGCAGGAGGAGGAGGAGGAGGAGGAGGAGGAGGAGGATATGGACGACGACGGCGAGAGGACGGGGAGGAGGAAGAGGAGTAGGGGGAGGAGGACAAGGACGAGGAGGACGACGCGGGCAAGGACGAGGAGGTGGGTGGAAACGTGGACGAAGTCGAGACGAGAGGGAGGACGAAGACGAAACGGATGATGCTGAGGAGGGCGACGACGAGGGCTCGGCCAGCCATCTCGGGGTCGTCTTGAGGCCTTCTTGCGGTCCTTGGGGCGCTCTCGGGGCCCTCTTGGGTCTCTGTTGAGGCTCTCTTGTGGTTCTTCTGGTGAGAATTGGGGTCCTCTCGGGGCTCTTTAAAGGGGCGTTTGGGGCCTCCTGGGGACCTGTCAAAAACCCTGGGAAGCCTCTTGGCCATCGATTAAAGGAGGGGTGGTCCCTAATCTAGCCCCCCCCCCAGGAGCCCTCAAAACCGTCTTTTGGAGCCCTCTTGGGACGATCTTGGGTGCTCTTGGGGCCGTCTGGGGTGCCTCTTGGGCGCCTCTTGGGGCTTTTTGGGGCCATCTTGGGACCATCGGAAGCGAAAATGCGAGAAGGCAACACTCAGTAATTGTCCTTAGGTGTTTGAAGGATTTGGGCCTCGTGGGGGGGTCCCTAGGAGGGCTCCGAGAGCACTTGGAACCATCTTGGAGCGGTTGTTTGGGACCTCTTGGAAGATGTTGGAAACAATCTTGCCATCTTCGGCTATCTTGAGCCATCTTGGAGATCATAGTGACGCAGAGGAGGCCATCTTGGAGACGTCTTGAGCGAAAAAGGACCCTCTGACAAATCGCGCACCCCCCCCCCCCCGAAAACCGTCAGGGAAGGGAGGGGGGGGGTACCCCTCCCCGAAGGGAGGAGGGACTTGGGAAGAGAAAGTACCAACATCGTTAGACCACCTACGCCCAGAGGGCTGGTGGCTCCCAGTGCGTCGTCTTCACCAGAGCGCGTCGCGCCTCTCCTCTGGAGTATGTATCATATCGTGTCACCACCCTCTTCGCTTTTCCGCACCCTCCTCGCCCTCGTCGTCCTTGCGCAGGAGGCGGTCTCGGATCCCGTGGCGGACGGGCGGAGGCCGCACCGGGGCGAGCGAGCGCCAGAGGAGCCGGAGGCGATCATTCACTGTTTTGTTTCGCCAGGCTGCATCACGGACAGTATTGTCTCACGTGCGCATGTGCCGTCTCATTGATGCCGCCACCATCTCAGTTGAGTTGTCTTCAAGAGGACCTGGTGACCGAAACGTTGACACCTCTAACTCGACCGGCAACGGTTTGAGAGCTCCATGTGAGTCGGGTGTAAGCAGCATCCTGGTTGTTTTCCGCCCTTACCCATCCTCCCGTTCCTCTCTCCTTCGCCGCCACCTACAATCTCCAACACCCTGTCCCCCATATGACTCCATCACTCCCTTGCGATCTCCTTTCTCCTCCTTTCAACTGTCCCCCACTGCCCATGTTTGCTTCCGACTTGCCATTGCTGGTGATAATGTTGCTTCAGTATTAGTACCTTTTAGGTGGGGTGGGTAGAGCCAAGTAGGTTGGGCGCACGCTGTGAAGAAGCCCTTTTGCCCTTGCGCTGATCATCGAAGACGTCTACGGTGAACCACCGCCGCCCTTGCCTTTGGAAACGTCTGAGTGGCCACCCGCTGGGCCGAAGTCCTGTCAAGTAGTGGGCTATGTGTTTCCCAAGTCGTTGTGGAAGCCCTTGGGGAAACATGTGGGTGAAGATGACGAAGAGGAGGCCCTCTGATGGCGCAGAAGGGATCCCAGAACCGTTTAAACTAGTCAGAAGCGTCTTCGGGCATCCAAACAAGCTTCCCAAGGAATATCGAACCGCCGTGGCCAAGCTGGGCGCGGCTTTCAAGCGCCAGTGGGAACTGTTGCTGGAAGGTCTTTGCAGCTCCCCTGAATCACACGAGGGCAAGCGATAAGAGGCCGCGTCTGAACTGCTCGTGAGACGCCAGCGCCCCTGTCGTGTATCTCCTCCTCCCTGCTTTCGCAGCTGTTCGTCGCGGCTTTCCTCGCGAGTGTCCGATCGGCATCGGCAGCGGGCATCAGTGCAGGAAGGTATGGCCGCAGGAACAGTGCGAAATGGGAAGGGACAGGGAAGTTTGTCAGATGATCGCGGTGAGACGTGGGCCTTAGACGACCACCTCGGGATTGTTGTGAGGAGAAGCGGGTGAATTCAGCCGTTGTGGGCTTCGCGGGTGTCCACGAGCATGCTTCCATGGCAGACGGCAAACCAGCCATATGAACGATTACACGAGGACCGTAGAGTTCGTGATGCCAAGCACCGTGGATGCATTTTCAGCCAAGCTACCGATGTCGAAGAAGCATGACGATGCCGAACAGCCGTATTATATCTCCGTTGTATGTCAGGGAGGTGGTTATTGCCCGGCGAATACTCCCAGGCTTTACGTCACGGGCCTGCTTGCCAGGTGAAAAGGCAGGCGGCAGGGGAAGACCCGGGGGGACAGGAGGCTTGCACGTCAGATTAACGCATTAGTTACCAAGCAGCTAGTTGGCCTGGAATTCGCGCTGGTTATAGTGGTCCGCTCACAGAGGATGAGTGGAAGGAGGAGGAGGGGAGAGGGGAGGAGAGGGGGAGGGAGGGGAGAGGAGGGGGAAGATGAGATGAGCTGGCTCGCTGGCCATCCTTGTGGGAGGCAAGGATCAGGAGCCCCGAGCGGGGTCCTCAGACGACCGATCCTTCATAGGGTTTGAATGACACGGCCCATGCCAGGCAAAGTTCGCAACAGCGCTACGGGGGGGTGACGTGGAGGTGGAGGGTAGAATTCGGCTGAGAAGGACGAGGTGAACGAGGATGAGTAAGTTGGAGAGATGGAGAGGAAGAGGAGGCAGGGAACAGTACTGGAAGGTCGCGTTCATGGGGAGCTTGTCAGCAAGCATCGAAGACCGCATGATGACCACGCGCGGAGCAGTTGCAGAGCCATCGGTGGCTAAGGCATTGCCCAGCTAAGCAGACCTCCTCTTCCTGCTTGCATAATCTCCCTGAGATGAGCGGCCCCGAGGAAGTGGTCGGCCCAGCGGTCGTCATAGCTGAGAGGCCGACGCCGCCCGAGGCCCCCCGCGGTCCCACGTTCCACCTGCCTTGGCCTCGCGGGCAGGGTGCGCGTTTGGGTGTTCTGGGCGAGGATGCGGCTGAGCCGCGTCGAGAACTAAACGGGACTGGTGCAGGTAAGCGTTGCGAAGTGGACGGCGGTGATTCCATTCCATACGCCATCCGTCTCCTCTTCATGCTGCAGTTCTTCCCCATCTCGTTTTCCTCACTGCTGCTCATTCGTCTCTCCTCGGCACGCTCATCCTCACCTACATATCCTCTCCGTGGGAGGGGGGAAGTTCATCAGGCGTGCACCCCTGGGTCGTTTCCCGCATGGGAACTTTCTGGTCTGGGCGCTCGAGTAACAAGTAAAAGCCAAAGAGGCCACAGGCTGACCGAAGCTCCACGCGGCAACCCGAGGGCATCGGCTCAGACGTGTTCTTCGTTCATCTCCGCGCTCTCACTTGGCCCATGATTCCTGCGAGTGAGCGAGCGACTGCCAGGCACCTGGGTCCGCTCCCAGTTGGAGGCGGGCGGAAACACAGCGGTCGCTTCCGCCAGGCAGGCCGGCACCAGTGCTGTACCCGGGCGCCGAGGCGCGGCCACGTGCGCCATTCAGTCGGGGCGCTGAAGAAGGAACCCTTTTCGTTGGGGAGGGGCTCGGTGCTCCTCGATTGTCTTACAGTTTGCCCTAGGTTTTCCTGAGGATTTCCATGGGAAATTGAAGTTTTAGCTTATGGGGAACAGGGGCCTCGTTCCCTGTTTAGGGCGCCTTGGCGAAGCCTCAGGGCGCGCGCCGGACCTGACCGCCCGCGCCGTTCGCGAGCCCACCCCCGTGGACGGCCAGGCAGCCAGCCGCGGGCGCGCCGAGCCAGGCGCGGCCGCACCGGCCCAAGCACATGTGCGCCGCCAGGTGATCGTTGTTGTCATTCATTGTTTTGCCGACCGGAGCGGGCCCCCAAACCCCCCTTCCCCACCCCCCGCATGGAGTAGATCTTGGCATCTTGGCAGTTTTTTGGCGCCTGTTTCGAGCGGGTGGTGTCTTCCCCAGAGGCTGCACTCTTACAAACAGTCGCACTAAGCAGAGGTCCGGAGCCAGACCCCCCCCGCTCCCCCTTCCGCCCAATGTCGAAGCGCCGATTAAAAAGATGCTCACCAGGCAGAGGTTTGCGGCCCGCATTCTCAGCGCGATGGGCATGCGCCGTGAGTGAGGCATTCGCCTGCCAGAAGCCCGGCTCAGCATCAGCAGCTCCCAAAGGCAGGGGCCCACCCATTCGGTCGGCGTCCTCGCCGAGCGTTCGGAGAAGCGCGGGTGCACAGACGCACGGGTGCAGACAACGGCCGCGCGGCCCAAAGTCGCAGGCAGGGCGCAGCAGGAGAACCAGCTAGAAGCAGGCAGCGAGGCAGACCCACGACATAACGCAGAGCATGAGATGAGTGACGAATGGATGAGGCGAGTAAAGAATGCAGGACCCACGAGAAGGAGGCTAGCGCTGTCTTCTCTGGGCCGGGCTTCCAGGCGCAAGCTGTGGCCAACCCACGGCAGCCACGACTGCCCAGGAGAGCAGCAAACGACGACGAACTTGCAGGGCCGGTAGGACGCGAAAAGCAGGCGAGCGGGCAGGCGGGAGGGGACAAACGGAAGTCAGCGAACAGGGAGCGGGGGCGGAGGGGGCCAAGGAAGGGCGGGAGGAGGGAAGGGGGCAGAGAGCTGAGCGGCCGCAGGCAGACGGGCCGCGACGGGGCCAAACGCCGCGAGAGACGAGGGCGGGGCCCGCTGCGAGAGACGCGGCCACCGCCAGCGACACCGACCTGGCAGCTCGGGTGGGCGAGCTGGGACAGTTGTCTGCGGTCGGGCGTGTCCCTCTACAGGAGGAGGAATCAAACATAGTCAAAAAATAGTTTGGGGACGATGTCTCTAGTATTTTTGACTATTTGGGGGCATTGTCTGACTATTTTTCACTGTTCCTCCGAAATCCCCCCTGTAGGAGACATGCCCGACCTCATGGTTATCGGCAGGGCCACCAGCCCCGCTGCGAGCCGCCCCGCGGCGAGGCCCCCCGCGCGCAGGTGCGGCGGCAGGGGCAGGCACTGTGCCGCGGCCGATCTGGCAGCCACGGCGACCAGATGCGCGTCACAATCCTGTACCTCCGACGCGGGTACGGAAACAGTGGGCCCCCGGATCCCACCTGCCTTCTGCAAGCAGATGGTCGACCGACTGCTTTGACAAATCAAAGGCTGGCACATTCTCGCCTTTTCGCTTCCGATGAGCTTTCGAAGCCTCCAACTGGCTCCAAAATTGACCAAGAAAGCTCCAAGCCGTGCCCAAGAGGCTTCCAAACCGGCACCCCGGGCTTATTTAGCCCCCACAGCGATCGTTCCGTAGTTGTGCGTGAGGCGGCGTCCCGCCCGCCGCGCGCGCGCCCTCCCCGGGCGCACCCTCCCAGCCGGCCGGCCCTCTCTTATCCATAGGGTCAACATAAGCTTAACTCGGGCCGGACGAAACGGGGGGGGATCGGAAAGGGGGGGGGGTCGGAATTTGATACCTGCTGCTGGTCTGACACGCCGAGCAGCGTAGCTACGCTTTTCCTTCCCCCGTAGCTACGCTGTGGTGCGAATGTCCGTTAATGTCGGACATTCGTACCACACCCATATCACCGACACGGGTACGGAAAGAGTGGGAACGAAGATCGACCGCAGTTCCTGCTCATGTTCAAAAGAGCTCGTTGTTGTTGTCGCTGCGGGCGTTGTCCATTTGAGGCAGCAGGCCGCCTGCCCAGTAGTGGCCGCTGTCCGTTTTGGACCCCGCTGTCCGTTTTGGACCACAGTTGTTATCCGTAAGGGTTTCGCACCCTGCCGCCGGCTCCCTCTCTCTGATAAAAGGGAATGCGAGAGCGAAATCATGAGGCTTTGGCGCCGCCGTGAAACAACGTCGGGACTTCACGCGAAGACGGTGCGTCATCGGCAAGACAAATTGAGTTGATGATGGTACTGTTGACTTCGGTGTTGTATTTCGAGCTTGCTCGCGTACGCTGTGCAAAAAGAGGTGTTCTACGAAGTGTTGGAATGTTGCAAATCCCATGTGTCTTTTGACCCTGACCCCATCGATCTGCGTGAGAGGTGCCACCGACTTCCACGACATGTGGCACATACCATGTGTTTTTTCCACCCTGACTCCGCCGATTTGCATGAGGAGTGCCACCGAATTTCATACGTGTGGCGAATCCCTCTGTCGTTTTGGACCCTGACCCCGCCGATTTGCGTGAGGGGGGCCACAGAATTTTTATACATGTGGCAAATCCCATTGGTTTTTGGACCCTGACCCCGCCGATCTGCGTGAGGGGCGCCGCCGAATTTGATGAATATGGTAAATCCCACGGTTTTTTCGACCCTGACCCCGGCGATCTGCGTGAGGGATGCCACCAGATTTCAGAAATGTGGCAAATCACAGTGGTTTGGCGATTCTGACCCCGCCGATGTGCGTGAGCGGTGCAATCGAATTTTACAAATGTGGCAAATCCCATTGTTTTTTCGACCCTGACCCCGGCGATTTACGTGAGAGGTGTCACCGAATTCGAGAACTGTGGCAAATCCCATAGGCTTCCGACCCTGACCCCGCCGATTTGCATGAGGAGTGCCACCGAATTTCGGAAATGTGGCAATTCCTATGTGTTTTTAGACCCTCACCGTGTTTATATGCGTGAGAGGTGCCGCCGAATTTCAGAAATGTGGCAAATCCCATGGGTTTTTGGACCCTGACACCGCCGATCTGCGTGAGGGGCGCCGCCGAATTTCAGAAATGTGGCAAATACCATTGGTTGTTTTATCCTCATCCTGCTTATCTGCGTGAGGGGTATCGCCGAATTTGAGAAATGTTGCAAATCCCATTGGTTTTTGGACCCTGAACCCGCCGATATGCGTGAGAGGCGCCATCGAATTTCAGAACTGTGGCAATTCCCATGTGTTTTTAGACCCTGACCCCGCCGATCTGCATGAGGAGTGCCACCGAATTTGAGAAATGTGGCAAATCTCATATGTTTCTGGACCTTGACTCCGCCGATCTGCGCGAGAGGCGCCACCGAATTTCAGAAATGTGGCACAACTTTTTTTGTGTTCTTAGACCCTAACCGTGTTTATATGCGTGAGAGGTGCTGCCGAATTTCAGACATGTGGCAAATCCCAGTGGTTTGTGGACCTTGACCCCGCCGATCTGCGTGAGGGGTGCCACCGAATTTCAGAACTATGGCAAATCCCATTGGTTTTTGGACCCTGACCCCGCCGATTTGCTTGAGGGGTATAAATTTCGACCCCCCCAGAAATTGTGATACCCCCGGGGAAGTACTAACCAGGCCTGTCTTCGACTCCCCCCCCTTGCGCGGTCTACAGAATTGTAACAGTGGAAACTGGAAACTGGAATTGGCGCAGGGAACAGCAAACCCTTGTCTTACAGCCTGGTGGCCCCACACGGGGGCCGGCGGATTGGGCATCGTACCCTGTTTTGTCCGTACCCATGCCGGGCGTCCTAAGTAATGTACGGCAAGACCGTCAGCAGATCAGCCCCGAACAAAAATCAACGCTCAGCCAATGCGTGATTTGAGCTCCGCATCCGCAGCGGATGCATCTTTTTAGACACGCAGACGCGTTTTATCATATAATTCTAGACTCTTCGTGCAACCCCACCAGCACATCCAGAAACGATGCTCAGAGGAATTGCCTCGATCAGCGAAGTGGGCAGCACACAAAGGAAGGGTCCTCAAGTGGAGGCCTATTGGAGCGTCTTTGGGGCCTCTTGGCGGTCCCGGACGCCTCTTAGAGCGTCTTGGGTGCCTCGGTGGGTTTCTTGCAGCTTCGCTACTTCGTTTGTTAAAGTATACACTATCGAGGCGTTTACCAATATAGAGTATCCTAGCAATGTATCGTTCGACCAGTACATCGACGATAGCGCTGTGTCTGCTGTTGGATCGGTCTCAGATGTTGTGCATGGTCTCAAGAGTACCA